GCCCTGGCCAGCAGGGCCTGGCATGTGACAGCGTGCTCCCTGCTGCCAGCTGGGATGTAACCATGACTCACTTGGACTCACCATGGTGTCTCCAACCAAGACGCTGGAATCTGTAAGCTGTCACCACTCCAGCGGCTTGAATGCATCCTTTTTCTCTATGTTGCAAGGACAGGGATGTTTGAGAGGGTTGTGTCCAAGCTTTAAAGTGCACGCAGACCCCCTGGGGAACGGGCTCAAATGCACATTCTGATTCTGAAGGTCCCGGTGAGGCAGAAAGTCCTCCTGCCTGAGCAACTCCCCAGGGATGTCGGTGCTGCTGGTCTGTGGGCCACACTGGCTTATCAGAACAAGAGTGAATGAAAGAAACCTTCCCCTCTCCTTCATGGGCCAGGATGGTCAGATCTCCCACCCATTACTCACTCATCAAACATGTGTTGAGCCTAAGAACTGGGGTAATGACGGCCCCATTGGCAGAAATAAGAAAGTAGGAGGTAGGAACTGCTTTTGGGGGGGAATAATAATAAAGGTTATCTTTGCTTGAATGCCTATTATGTGGCCTGATCTTGTTTAATCTTTATATTTGGCAAAGTAGGTCTTATTAACTTCCATTAATTTCTTAACCGAATTAAGGCTCAGAAAGCTGAAGTAATTTTCCCCGGGGGTGTCAGGGCTGGCTGGAACTTGAACCTGGTCTGTCGAACTCCCAAATCCATCTGATGCCACTATGACACACACACTTCCTTGTTTTGGAAGGGGAGGAATTAGGATTAGATTCGGCCCAGTGGTTCTCAACCTCGCCTGCATGTTGGAATGACCAAGAGGATGTTTAAAGCTCTCACATCCCAAACCAATTATACCAGACTTTCTAGGAAAAGAACCCACTATCGGCATTTTTTAAAAGTCTCCTCTTCCCCAGATAATTCCAATGTGCTGGCAAGACTGAGAATTAGTCCAACTCCTCTAATCAGCGAGGCAAGTGAGGAGCTGGTGGGTGAAGTGCCAATGTCGTCAGAAGTAGCACCTCTCAGTTCCCAGCACAGGAAAAGAGCAGGGGGGAGGGGGGCCGCAGGAGACACTGACTCCCTCTCTAGCTCTTGGCTGTCAATTGGTGGAAGGCGGCAGGGGAGGGGTGGCATGATAGGGAACACTTCTGATAACCACAAAGGGTCCTTTAAATCAGCTGAGCTGACAAAATGGCAGCCAGCAGTAACTAAGCCTCCAGCTGGGACAGCCATGAGGAGTCGGAGCCTGGTGCCACTCCTCAGCTCCACAGAGCAACCTCGCTTTATGCACCACATCCATCCCTTTCGGCTTCTTGGAAGCATTAATGCAGCTCTTTCCATGACGTTCCTGGTGAGGGCCTGGCTGGGAGGGGCCTCAACCCATCCCACTCAACCTCTGGTGGCTGATGTCTTTGCCAGGAGCCTGTCACACTTGGCCAGCCCCCTGGTGCGGAAATCCCCATTTGCAATGATGGTACCATCCCACCTTCCCTTCACAGCCTAATTATAAACTAAAGCTCGACTGCCTAAGCTTGGGGCTAATATCACAATATCTTCCATGGTGAGGAAACAATCTAACAAGTTGTAAATTACCCTGAAGGGAGGGTCAGGGGAAACTGGGCCATGTCAGCCCCAACCCTCATTTTTTCCCAACACTTCACTCCCTTCCTCAACCTAGTCTAAAGGGACTGAAATGATGCTCCTCCTACCCCCTTCCCTATTATTCCTCGTTGGGAAAAGATGTTTAAACGCCAGCAGGACACTACTAGCCAAATGGCCCCTTTGTGCAAAGGCACCCTAGGACCCTTGTTCTCAAGACACTTTAGCTCCACCTGCAGGAGTTCTGTAGTAAATGCATACATGTCTAGGATGCTAATGGTGCCCCTTAGACAGTGCATTTTTCTGGTGCACAACCAGCACACCCTTAGGCACTGGCTGTAGATGCCAGAATCCTACGTGATGGGCCTTACACTGGCCTGAATTTAATTTCAAAGCTGGGGGGCAAGATGGTGCGTGTGCACATCTGGTAAAAGTCATTGGTAGGGCTGGACATTCCCTCGCCCTTCTGCCGTGTGCAGGAGGAACCCCAGCTATTAAATTGAGCTGAATAATAGCACTTAACAGCTAAATAATGACATTTAAGAGCTAAAAATGGAGGCACCTCAGGGGCTCCTGGCATCCCCCGCCTCCCTGCTGCTGTGGCAAGGGCAGGTGGCGGTGGGTACTGTGTGCCTGCTTGCCTCTTGGCTCCTCTTGGCTCCTCTTGGCCAGAGAATGCCAACACAAAGGTAACCCCTAGAGGCGTTCTGGGAGTTCGGGCTTTCATCTGGTGCCTTTTTGTCTGACTGTTTACCAACTAAACGTCGGGCTCAGAGCTCACTGCAGAGGAACGTCCTGTCCCGGGCGCGCTGCCTTCACGTCTCCCTTCATGGGGGTGAGGCTAGAAAGGGCAGAGGGAGAGTGCTTTTTCTTTAGCACATTCTCTTCCATTTAGAAAGGGCCTGCTCACGATGCAGGGCGCAGAAGAGCCCTCTGCGGCCATCCCATCTTGCAGAATTGCACCCCAACCTCATGAAGGAAGTAAACTCACCCGCTTTACAGTGAGGAACCTAAGGTTCGGAGAGGGTGAGTAACATGCCCTAAGTCAGCTCAGGTAAGGGACACAGCCAGAATCAAACTCAGGTCTGGCTGACTCCGAATCCCACGTGCTTTGCACTACATGTCTACCTGTGAATAGCATGTAGCAAGGCTGCCTTTTTTGAGCAGCACATCACGTGATAAGTATGGCGTCATAGGGCCCAGGGAGAGGCCGAGAGGAGCGGTAGAAGAGGAGGTGGTTCTGCCAAGAAGACGAGACTCAGCCCCTGACCAGGGCCACGGAAGCAGAAGGCTGCCTGGGTACGTGTGGAGGCGGCTTTAGGACAGGTCTATGAACGCGTGTCGATGGTGGGTCTATGCTGGTTTCAGCCTATCCATAACCAGTGTCGTGGCTAGAACCTGTGGTCCTCATGACAATCTCAAGACATCCTTCAGCCATGACCATTCGGAAACGTAGTAATGGCTATTTCTCATAGGACCTGGAAATTAATTGCACAGCACACCTGGGGTCACACAATGAGGGATTCTCAGGGCTGTGAGGGGGCGGGGGGGGGGGGGGGGGACAGAGAGAGAGAGAGAGAGAGAGAGACAGAACAGGCTTCCATGGGCCTGAGTTTCTACTTTTATTGGGGTTGAGGGTGGGGACCAAGGATTACTCAGGCTTTCTCTTCATGACTTAAGAGGAATATACCTGTCAAAAGGATTTCTTGTGGTTATGGGACCAAATTTATCATCAGAGTCTAGCAGCCATTTTTTTACAAGGGGCCTCTCACACAGGCTGTATTTTAGGGAAAAGCCACACACTGGCCTGTCAAGACTCCTGCACTATGTTCCTGTGGGCTGAGCCAACCCCTATAAAAGAGGTCCTGGAATCATATTTCAACCAATGGTCTGAGATCTGCCCCGTGCAATCAGAGCTGTACAGCTATATCCTCATTTGCATCATAACCAATCAGAATGTGCAATTCTGAACAATCAGGAGGGCAGTGCTATGTGGACCAATCAGATGGTGCAAAGTTGGATTTCTCATTTGCATAGAGTGAATGCTCAACTATTTGTGCAATTTGTGTCATTATCATTATTATCATCATTATTATTGGGGAGTGTAGGTCACTGGCATAAGGAGCACTAGTGCGATTCCTTTCATTCCTGTACCAATCCCTCAGACTGTTCTCTTATGATTCATTTTCCCCTTTCAGGGTAACCCTCGGAGTTTCCTTTCTCCTTATTTTACCAGAAAAAAAAATATTGACGGGAAATATGCCAGACCCTCAAAACTCTAATCATGAACCTGGAACTATCGTCTCCCGTCCAGGCGCCAGACACAAATACCCTCAGTTATATGAGGCGACTGGAGGGAGGGAGTCCCCAAGAGGACTGGGAGCCCTGTGGTTTGGCGGATGTCCAGGGGGTGGAGCCAGAGAGTTGCTGCTGCTTTGCTGACCACTGACAAGAGCTATCAGCTCCTCCAGGCGGGCGGGAAGCCCAGAGAGAACGACTGATGACATGGGCGCAGCTTTCTGTGCTCTGAAGCACACCTGACGTACATTCCTCCCATACAGAACATGCCGCCAAACTGACATTTCAGAAGAATGAGGAAGAAATGGATTTTTTTTTTCACTTCAATTTTAGATTCCTCTGCTATGGAATGTTTGCCTCTGGACTGTTTTAAAATGTATTGTTATTTAAGTATAGTTTGTGCACAATCTTACGTTGATAATACTAGTTCCACGTGTACAATATAGTGATACAACATTTTTAGACCTTTCAACGTGATCACCCCACTGATCCTGGTAATCATCTGTCACCGTGTGCACTTATCACGATGTTGCTGACCATGTAGCCTCTGGACTTTTAAAGGGCAGTGGAATTTGTCTTGGGATTCTCACCTAGATAGAGAGACGGTGCAGGGAAACATTTATATTTTTTTTCTCCTCCTCGCTGGGGAAAGGGCAGCTTGGTTTCCAAAATAAACAAATTGTCTACCCCTTGTACCCCACACCCTCGCACCACGTGCCTCGGACCTTGCTGGGTTCTTGCACCTGTGCAGAAGCTGTGTCCCGTCTACGAGAAAACTCCCCCTCCCCCCAGGTGCAGTCACTTTGCTCCAGAGTCCATTGCATAGCAACCTGCTACCTTGGTTTTTAAAGTGATACTCTTTTGAACTTTCCCAAACGTATTTCTGGGTGAGGGTAGGAGCTACTGGAAACAGTATGGACAAGAAAAAGATGAATTTGAGTAGGATTATGACTGAGCAAAGATCTCAGAATGTCATGGAAAGGATGGAAAAGATGTTGGCACCAAATCAAGAGCAGGGAGAGAGAGAGAGAGAGAGAGAGAGAGAGAGAGAGAGAGAGACATCAGGTACAGGACAGGGGACCAGTCTCTCAGCACTGCTTTGGCACTGGTGCCTGAAGTGGGAGGAGAGAGCTGAGTGCACGGATATGCGGAGTGGGGTTCTGACTATAAAACTGTTGGGTGCCTCCCTCCCAGCACTGCCTCCTCCTAAGCACCCTCCCTTCAGCAGAGCCTGGCTGGGCTTTATCAGCCAGTGCCTTCTGCCCCGGGAAGCCAGCCGGAGTGTGAGTACCATCCTTATTTCCATTCACTTCTGTTGGGTGCTCGGTCCACTTTAAAATTTGCTCCTTTTCCCTTTTCTTTGTTTGAATGGAGGAATGTTTCAGAGAGTCTGGAACTGGGTAGAAACAGCAAAGTCAGAGTTTTGCTAGAAAGCAGCTTCCCAAAGCCCCAGGCCTCTCCCTGGAAGCTTGGAAGCCAGGCCTTTGTTTCTGGTCTCTGAAGCAGGGTGGGGGCACAGCACCCGAGTTCCACGTGGAAGAGGGTCTGCAGCGAGGTGTCTCCGGGACGTGCTAGGTGACTGAGTCCATCGCTGCTGTGCGCGTTTCGGGCTGTGTTCTGGAAATAATGAAGTAAAGTTGGAGGCATAACTGACTCCAAAAAAAAGTGGGCCGCTGGCAATGGCCCTTTCTAATTCGGTTTTATGGATCTTCCGGCATGTGCTGTCCTGCTGCAGGGGGAGTGCTCAGCTCCAGGAGGGCGCGCTGGCTCATGGAAGCCGTGCATTTGGCAAGTTCCTTGCAGCTGCACTTTCTACTGTGGAATTCAGACCTCCAGGCTGCTAGGAGTAGTGTGTTCCCAAGAGAAAGGCCTTTTAATCAGGAGGCAGGAATAACTGACAGCGTTCTCTTTGTTTCTGCTTACAGCTTTAAGGACAACGGAGCACCTCCCACCACTTAATATCAAAAACTACCTAAAATACTAAAATACTAAAGAGTATTGTAAGTACCGAATAAATGTCAATGTTGAAAGTGTCTTTAATATGGAAGAGCCTGAATATTTAAATTCTTTCTTCTGTATCCATATCCAGAACTTTGTACTATTTTTTTTTAAGTGATACTGGCATACCTCGTTTTACTGCACTTCGCTTTATTGTGCTTTGTGTGAATTAGGGGGGCGAGGTGGTGGGTGGTTAACAAATTGAAGATAAGACTCTCCGCTAGAAAATAGATTATGACTCACCGAAGATTCAGATCAGGATTAGTAATTTTTTAGCAATAAATTGTTCTTAATTACGGTGTGTACATTGTGTTTTTATACTTAATAGACTATTCCATGCTTAATAGACTACAGTGTGGTATAATCGTAACTTCTATAGGCACTGGGAAACCAAAAAAATTGTGCAACTTGCTTTGTTGAGCTATTCACTTTATTGCGGTGGTTTGGAACCACACCTGCAATATCTCCAAGTTATGCCTGTACTTGAGACATAGAAAATTGGAGACTTCTGGGTCTCTCTAATTGCACAAATTTCTAATATATGCTGACAATAGAACGAGTTTTATTTTGAATAATAAAATGGGGAGTGATGGTTGGATTGAAATTCTGATATTGCCTGTATTAGAATGATGAGCACTGTTTTGTTTCACTGGTGATCTAGGCTTTCTGATTCCTGCCAGAAAGCAGTTCCCAGAACATTCTCAGGATGTTAAGCTCAGCACACACCGGCCCTGGTATGGATGTGTCAGTGATGCAGGAGAATGAGGCTTACTTTGAGGCACAGGAGATGTTTATTTGTCAGAACAGTCACTGATTCCTTCCAGGGCACAGGGTAAAACTGGGGGTGGCCGAGCCCTTTGTCACTGTTCAACCCCCATCTATCTCTGAGTTATTTCAAGGCAGCCATGGAGACAGGCTGAGTCTACTACCCCACTGAGCCCTAGCGCCTGCTGCAGGCTGCACTCAGAAGCTGTTCTTCTCTGGTTGTTGACTTGAATAGACTCTTGGGTGGTGCTAATGTGCTCCAGACTGAAAGACAAAGAACCACCAAGGCTTTCTATTCCGTAAGACTGACTGCTGAGTGAACTTGGAGAGTCCCCACTCTGAACCTCAGTTTTCTCTTCTATAAAACGAAGGCTTGAACTATGCACTCTCTCAAACCCCACCTAGCTCTCAAATTTTACCGTCTCTTGGCTCTGAGAAAATAGTGATGTTGAGCTCAGAGGATGTGATTCTCCAAGGTGTGTGTGATTTTGATAGTGGGGGGAAGGCAGGAGCCCTGCAGGGGCAGGAGGGCTACGTGTCTGCTCTGATGAAATGTGACGGTTTCTGTTATCTCTCTCTTTCCTTTTTCCTTCTTTATTTTTTTAACCGTGTATGAGATGAGTCTTACCATTGCTCTTTCTCAAACGAAAATATGTACAATGTAACCCATAGACACATCAGTTTGGTACTTAACAAACCAGATGGTTTAACCACAGATAAACACACATGCACACAGTTATTTTCTAAGCCGTGACAGGGATATATTCCACAACCGGAGATTGTTCTGAATGACTCTAGTAGAGTGTAAGTTCTTGAGTTTCATACTGACGCAGTAGAAGAAAGTAAAAATTAAGTAAGAGGGAGAGAGAGAAAGAAATGCCACACATACAACTTTTCTGGAACTATGAAGGGAGAATTATATCCTTGGATGCAACGGAAGTTTAAAAAAATAAATACAAAGCTGCCACACTTGTAGAATTCAACTAAGAATTGTTTATTATCAACAAGATGATGTCCCATATTTAACAATTGTTATTCAGATACAAGAAAAAACAACACCATTTAGCATTCTCTTAGACTGGGCTTTCTCTGTGCCTTAAGTGTAGCCAGTATCTTATTACAGAAAATCAGAGTTCGCACCACGCCTCTCCTCACATTTGTAAAGAACAAGACTGAGGAAATAGTTGCCTGGGCCTCTGTCTCCAGGACGGAGCCCTAACCGTTTGGCCTCAAGCATTTCAGACCCGGAAGCCCACCCCTCCCACTGGAGCCGGCTTCAGGTCTGCCAGCCTCCTGGTAATGGAAACGCGCAGCAGAACAAGATCTCTGTGTCGCTGTCTTTGCAGAACGGGTTGCCACCATTTTTTGTTTGTTTGTGTTTGTTTCGTTCTAAGCAATGTAAAATGAACATCCGGTGTGTGTGGTCAGCTCATTGTCTCTCTTTGCTGACCGAGCACTTGGCTGATGGAGAAGCCGGCCCTCTCCGTTAGAGGTCTCAGTCGGGGGCCACATCTCCTCCGCCCAGGAACACACCTGGCACGCTCCTGCCTCCCTCCAGCTCGCACGCAGTTCACCTGCCCGGCAGAACCAAGGCGCGCGTCCTGCTGATTCTTGTATTTTTTGCCCTTTGTCATACATGGAGAGTGTGGAGAGGAAGGAGGATGAATGGACGGTCTTTGACTGGCGGCGCTGGTGACGCCTCTGCTGTTCCTCTTTGGAGGAACCCTTTTGGAAATAAAGCTGGTGAGGCAACACGCGGAGGCTTCTCCCGGCTAAAGCTGGCCTGGGCCCGGGGGCCGCCGGAACAGGTATGCTTCCTCCTGCAGCCTCTGCCTCCGGGAGCCTGGGCACCTGCACTCCTGCGTCTTTCCTGAGTGGAGCCTGGGCAGTGGGTCCTCACGCTCGGCTGAGCGCACGGCTTGGGCTGCCCGGATGTGCACGGGGCTGGGTCCAGAAACTCACAGGGCACTTCTCATGGTTCAGAGGCCAGATGGGTGAGCTGCTGGGTTTGGATAATGACGGGAAAGCTAGGAAAAAACTAGCCTGGGGTTTTTATCCTGCTTCTATTTTATTAGGGTTTCTTACTTGCATTTTCTTGTCCTGCCTTCTGTTAAAGGTTAATGGCCAACTTAGTTAGATTTGAGAAGTTTGAGCATCAGTGGATGATCATTGCTCCATTTTCTCCCATTGCCTTTCCAGTTAGGCTGTGTGGATTCTTAAAGTTCCCTAATGTATTTTCATTGTTACAAATTGAACATAATTAAAGCATAGTGATTAATCACAAAAAACAATATGTAATTATATATGTGTTTTCCGATGGTCTTAGGCGACCCCTGTGAAAGGGTCGTTCGACCCCCAGGTTGAGAACCGCTGGTCTAGGGTGATAAAATTGTAGGATGAACTGCAGCCTTTAAGCTACTGGCTTCTCATAACCAGTGCTCATGCCTGAGTTCTAGAGCAAGAAGTCAGGGCTCCCAGGGTCTCCAGAAGCTTCTCGTAGTTCCGAACAAATGGTTCCTTTGGCTCCGAATCAGCAGCAGCTGTCTGCTCACCTCAGGAGAAGACTCCTGTGTCCGAGGCATGGAGGCCCTACCACGCACCCCAGGCGTGGACCCTGGAGAGACAAGTGGCAATACGCCTTCTTGATGGCGGGCTGCGGATTGAGATGAAAATTCCGTCTTTATTTACCTTTGGGCGGCTCCGCAGGGCACTCAGGCCCTTCAGGTTCCCGATCACGTCAAGCCAGTTATGCTATCAAGTTTCGTATCTGTATCTCCAAAATCTCGGAGGCGATGGTGTATTTCAAGCCTTCTAAAATAAATAAATGTAGGCTGGAAATTTTGAGAACATGAATTTGTTCACCCCAGAATAACCCATATGTTCCCACTTGTTTCTGTACTCGACGGAAAATGCCCCTCTACTGGTTTCCTTCCATGCTGATCTGAGAAATTCGGGGCGGTTGTATCTGAGCCTTTTGTGGCTGCCCGGGCAGAAGGCTGATGCCTCCAATAAGTTGGCCTGGCTTTTAAAACAAGTCACTGTAGCTGAGGAAGGGCTTACCAAGCAATATTTTCAATAATGAGATTTAAAGAGGGAGATATCTGAAAATAAGTGGTAGCCATCACTTAGATTATGAAATAAAAGACAATTTTTTATAATTGCTTACTAATTCAGTTTTACATGTTTAACTCTGGGGCCAGTGAGCGCCATACAGACTTTATTTTGGCTCCTAACCTCCAGCAGTTTTCAATTGAAGAGATTCTTAATACAAAGGTTCATTGGATGTCTCACAAATGCAAGAATCTAACACTATTTTGTCAAAACAAAATAGCTTAATCTAGAATGTGCTCCATAAATACCTTCTACTTTGTGTTAGGATTAATGGTTCACCATTGTTTGAAAGCAGGATGGTTAAACAGTGAAATAACACAATGAAAGTACAATAGTTATGTAATAAAACGTCAGTTACCCACATTGATTTCCGTATTAGGGTTAATAAAAGGCAAAACTGGAGTCGGGATTGAAGAAAAACAAAGCATAACTTTTCTATCTGTTAATAGCTCTTTGTTGGCCATGGTAAATGGAACAATGAAGGGGCCAAAAATAGCCATGAGATCCCCTTATTCACAGCCTGGCCACAGGTAGAAGGTGAGCTGGTTTATCTACATGGGCTTTGGTATTTCTGTGGTCGTGTCTTATGTGCCTGTGGCTTCAGCATTCCACAGTTATGCCTTCTGGTTTTGGTGTTCACCTACTTCACACTAACCTGGTTGTGCTCTTGGCCTTCCTTGCATGCTCCAGGGGGTTGTGCCATTGTCTTCTCCCTTTGCCTACCTCTGAGATGGCACCATTGGTATTCTCTTGTGTCTACCATGAAACCAGTTCTGTCCTCAGAGTACCATATTCTGGTGATGCTGGTGCTTTCCCATTCACACTAATCATGGGGAGGGAAGAATCTCATAGTGAGCACAAGCCATGGCTATGTTGTTGTTATTTTTCTGAAGCATGTTTACTATATTTACACTCTGGACATCCTTCTATTGTACAGTTCTTACATTACAACTCTTTGGTTTTCAACAGCGTGGTCCACTCCCACTTTTCCAATTTTCTATACCTTTGTGTAATGTTACTCTTGCCTGTTTTAAAACATTTAAATAACAAATTCCAAAAATGAGGAATATCTGAAGTGGTTGCCTGATGTGAGGACTTAATCTATATATATATATTATTGATTTCAGAAAGAAAGGGAGAGGGAGATAGAAACATCAATGATGAGAGAATCATTGATCAGCTGCCTTCTGCACACCCTCCACCAGGGACCCAGCCTGCAACTCAGGCATGTGCCCTCACCAGTAATCGAACCTGACCTCCTGGTTCATAGGTTGATGCTCAACCACTGAGCCACTCCGGCTGGGCATATTCAAGTAATCTTTGAATTTGAAGAATGTGTGTGATGGGGTTTCTTAGGCAGTGTTAACACACACAAACTGCTTTAAAAATTTTTCTTATCTTCAAACTTTTAAACATAAAGCCTTTTCCATAAAATTAAGTTTTCATTTTAAAAGGCTGTTGGTCTTAGAAAGCAGCTGATTGGTCTGCATCAGTGAGCACCATTTTGTAATCTGATGACTGGCTCCTTTAATTGACAACATGAAGCTTAAGCATGTGATGTTAACTCTTTCTACATTACTATTTGCTTCGTTATGTTGAAATTAACTGTTTTCCGGCCTTTTCCACTAGGCTGAATGAGATCTTTGAGTGCAGGATATAAGCACTCAATAAATGTTTGTTGAATTAGGAGCCGAACCTTATGAAAATAAAGACAAGAACCTTCTCACGATAGCATCAAAGACAGTAATCACGAAAGTGGGATGGAATTTGGGTTTGGGCAATCATCTCCATGATGATATTTCAAGAGGAAAATGGTGATTTCTTAATATCATGAGAGGTCATGGTCCAGATGAAATAATGCATTTAAACTCATCCTCTGTGGCTCCTGTGACCAGGCCCTGTGCTGACCAGCCTGGTGAAGCCTGCACGCAGGTGTTTACGAGCTCTGTTCTTTCCTCAAGGGGCCAGGGGAAGAGATAGTCATGGAGGACAGCCCCACTATGGTTAAGGTGGACCGGGGTGAAAACCTGACCTCACCGCGTCGAAGGAGAAGGCGCCTTCCCAAGGCTCTTGGCTATGTCACTGGTGACATGAAAGAATTTGCCAACTGGCTTAAAGGTATTTTTGCTTCCATCCCTTGAAGAGATGTGAGAAATGGATTTGGAAGAAATTGCTGATGCTTCTACTCGTATCTTTAGTTATACAGTCAAACCTCAGTTTTCGAATCTCAGTCTCCACCAAGTTGTTCAGGAGAAAAAAATGTCTCGGTTGGATTGTCCTAGAACCAAGCTTAGGTTTTGGGCCTGACAACCCTTTCATGCTGATATCTCAG